GCTGAACGAGGCCTGGTACCATGAGGGACACGCTTGACTTTAAACTCGAGCTCCGTCCCCGACTACAGTGGCAAACTACTTCCTCCCAGGCCTCGAGCCACCCCATCAAGGGGGGAGTGCAGGAAATAAGGAGGACACCACAGATCGAGTGCCCAGGCCCTCTGGGTCCCCAGGAAGTCCCCACGTCCCCACACAGACTGGTGGGGACGGCAGGGCAGTGAAGGGCTGTGTATTGGTCAAACCCTATCCACATGTCACCAATACAGCCCTTGACGCTTAACAGGATTTACGTAATGACAGCATCTTCAGTCACTAAATACACTCTGAAGTCAGTACTTACGTTTATGCTATGTGATTTAAATTCAGTCGGTAATCGTTGTATTTAGAAAAAAAAATTTGATACTCGGTAGGGACCGAGACCAAGCTCAGGTCACTGCAGAGCCATAAGGCCCGTGCATCATGCACGGAGGGACCCGCTTCTTCGGTTGTATGAAACCTTTTCTAAAACCTTCAAAATCCAGCAGTTTGGACCTCGCGGACGATGAACCTGGGCTATTTCCTCCTCACGTAAAAAGTCATGGCCATAAAGACTGGGTGACACCACCCCGTGAGCAGCGTCGAGAGAGAAGTCCCAGTCGGGGAGCACGCGCACGCGCTCGCTCCCTGCTGCTCCTCGGCAGTCCCCCTGCAGACTGTCAGCCCCTTGGGCTCGGCCCTTCCTCCTGCCCTCGCCCGCTCCCGGGATGGCTCCCAGAATCCTGCTCCGAGCTCAGCCCTCTTTCCAGCCCCAGACCGTCCCCGAGGCCTCCCGCCACACCCGGCCGGGCCCCTTACACTTGCACTTTGAAAGATTAAGCTCCTGCATGTTCGCCTCAGTCCTGACCCTCCACCTACTCGCTCCTCACCCGTGAGGAAGACGGTGCCCACAGGGTGCTCAGAGCTGGGGGTCCGTGCTGCAAACCCGCACTCAGGGCCCCCAGCCTCAGAAGGCCTCTAAAGGTCCCATCCACACCACGTTCGCACCTGAGCGCCTGCAGGACCCGTGGCTCAGTCGGCACGGATGCACCAGGACCAACCCTTCGAGATTTCTGCCAGGAGAAGGCCACCGCCTCCTCCATCTGGCCCAGGGCTCCCGCCTGCCTCTGGGCTCACTCTCCCCAAAGGGCATCTCCGTCTGAAGGGCACTCGGGGTTCACTCAGCTGCCCGAAAAGCTCCCGCCACCTGAGCTGGCCTCTTCCTGCTGGTCACCCCGGCAGACCGGGCCCTTTGTGGGCCTGACAGGCTCGCAGACCCATCTCTGTCCCTCCATCGGATCAAGACCCGCGTCTGTTTCTCTGCATTGCCAGCACCACTGTCCACCCCACAGGTGTCACACGTGCGCATGTGCCACAGGACTGGCCGACCGCCCAGGCTGGCCATACGCCTGAGCAGCAGGCCAGCCTGCTTCCGAAGCCAGCATGCCCCGCCCCCCAAAGCCACGCACAATGGACCCAACGTCATCCTTTCAAGCCACACACCTGACGTGGTGCCGTACTGCCTGCTGGCCCCGCGGCCTGACACACGCCCAGCCACGCCCCACTGCACCCTCTCCCTTCTAGATCACTCGGAGCTGTGCGTGGGGACAGGCAGGGGCGCGTGTCCTTTCCCGCACATCCCCACATCCCGCACAGAAGGCCTAGCGGCTGCTGTCTGCCCATGCACACTCGCACTCGGTGACACCCGGAGGCTCCTCTGGTTTGAACAGCCGTTGTCCCACCGAAGCCGATAAACTCCGTCACTCCCTCTTTCCATCTTTAGTCGCTTGAAGTGAAGTGGCCCGAAGCTGCCGAGCTGGCACTAGGGTCGTCACCCGTGTTTTTTTCCAAAGGGACGTATTTCCCATTGCTGCCTTTTCCGACTGGATAAGCAATACAGATCCATTTGTAAAAATAACAACATAGAAATGACGAAGGCAGCGACAGCAGAAAGAAAAGGCCTCCCGCGACTCCGCGAGCCAGAGGCGGGCCCCTCCTTCCCACTTTGCAGGTACGTGTAAACCTCATTTTCCACCTATGGCTCTCGCAGCCGTGGGGCTTCTCCCCGTGTAACCACACACGGTGGCTGGCTTCCCCGTTCACACGGCAGAGGGCCACACTCTGAGAATTCCACAGCGTATGTGCCCGACCCCACACGGAGGGGCAGCTGTCATGTCTCACCCACACGCACTGCGTACGTGCGGCTCTTCAATTAGAACCAGTTAGAGCCAGTTCCCGAAGGTGCCACCTGGGATGCCAGCATGCTCACGGGGCACTTGGTGACCCCGTGGCAGCTGCCCCTCACCTAGGGGAGGCTCAGCCCCATTTCCACGGGCCGCGCCCAGGGGAGTCTCCCCTCTTCTCTGAACATACGAAGCCCCTTCCCAATAAACACCATTAAAAAGATAAAGCTAATTAAAAAGTAAAAACCACAACACCCTAATTCATTTGAGTCACAGCTTTGTGAGACGACAGGGCATCACCAACCCTCACTGCAGGATTGGCCTCTTTTGTGAAACTGAGCAGAAATAAACAGATGTGTTAAAACGCTCCAGAGCTGAGCTATCGCAGTCGTCAGTAGCCACATGTCGCTATTTAAAGTAACTGAACTTAAGGGAAATTTAAAATCCAGTTCTTCTGAGGCAGTAGCCACAGTTCAAGCACCCAGGAAGCCAGATGTGGCCGGTAGCTAGCGGTGGATCCAGAAAGTTCTGTTGGATGGTCTTGAAAGCCAGGACACTCTCCACTAAAAACCATAAACTTGTGCCTCCACACACGAGAAGTGACCTACACCATGGGAGGTGCTCTGAGCACTTTTCCACCAGTGTGTGACAGATCCGTGCTGGATGCCCTCACATCCTATGCCTAATCTCCATAGCAACCAAGGAGGGGAGGGAAAGGCAACTAACCACGTAACTCACAAGGGGATTGAAAGGTATTCTCCAATTCTTTGTCACTGTTTTCAACAAAATAAACATCACCTCATCTAAGAAATTAAAAAAAAAAAAAGGGCCGTGCTCTAATTAAGTTGG